GTAAATAAGTCACTATCATGGCCTGTAAATGGTGGGGGGTCTCCTTTCAACTCTGGTCATGCCCCCCCCCCCCCAGGGAGAAAATGGAATGAGCAGCACAGAGAGGCAGAATGGAGCAGCAGCTGGGGATGGAGGACAAGAGGAAGCGGAGAAGCCGATCGAGTTGGAACCAAAGAAGGTGAGCTGATGATATGAGAATCTGTTAGCTGCCTGACGTACTCTGTCTAACTGCATGGACGGTTTGCTTATGGAAGCCTCTGGAAATGTAAATGGGTGTGGATGTATCATGGGGTGTTCATCGTGGGGGGTCAGAGTTCACAGCTAGCCTGAAGCCCTCTGTCGCTTCACCCAGCTGAGCAAGAAGAGGAAGAGGAAGCTGAGCGCAGAGAGCGAGGATGACGCCAGCGCCTCCGACGACAGCGACTCCGACTCCAACTCCCACACCTCCGAGAAGCCTGATGCCAGGGAGGAGGACGAGGAGGAGGAGGAGGAAGGAGAAGGTAAGTAGCTGACGCCAGAGCAGAGGGGGAGGGGCTGGGAAGGGGGTGGCGGGTTCCACTCACTGTCTGCTACCTCCTCCCCCCCCCCCCACCACCGCCTGTGCTGGAGCAGCAGACGTGGAGAAGAAGGAGAAGGAGAGGAAGAGCAAAGAGGAGCAGCCGCCTCAGCCCCGGCCGCTGCACCGCACCTGCTCCCTGTTCATGCGCAGCATCGCTCCCACCATCTCCAAGGCAGAGATCATCTCTGTGAGTCCCGTCCCAGACCCGCTGGCTCCGCGACCCCAACGCGACCCCAAGCTTTATTTGGCCAGTTTACTTTATGCTGTGTGTCATAGTTTCCCAGAATATTTACCAAAAATGGCATCGGAGAGATTAAGCAAAGTCTGTTCATCATCCATGGCACTCATCCAGTTCAGGGTCGCAGTGGGGGTGTTGCCGTCCCATAAAGCACTGGGCAGGGGAAACCCGGGATGGGATGCCAGTCTATACACGCTCTCTTTCACACTCACACATCAGGGCGGTATGAGATCCGATAAAACATTTTTTTAGTTTGGCCTCCTTGTACTTCTGCCTGGCTGTGGCAGTGGGATGTCCGACCCAGCGTGACTGGGGGCAGGGCGAGATGTTTGGGGTAAGGCGGGCTGCGGCTGACCATCTCGCTCCTCTGCAGCTCTGCAGACGCTACCCAGGATTCATGCGGGTGGCCCTGTCCGACCCCCAGCCGGAGCGCCGGTACGTCCTGGGCTCGCGTCTCTGTGGGGGAAACTACCCGATTCAGCTTCCCGATTGTAGCTCGTTTGTTTATTGCGGCTCAGATAAAGTCTCTCTGTCATTCAGGTTTTTCCGTCGTTGCTGGGTTACTTTTGACCGGAGCGTAAATATTAAGGAAATCTGCTGGAACCTTCAAAACATTCGGGTGAGTCTGCCCTTCCCCGCCCTGTGCATGCCTGTCCCTTCTCGCCCACACCTTCATGTCTAGCCGAGCACCGCCGGATGTGTGTTGACACTCCCAGCTATTAACAGAGGTTCCTCTCGCATGCTTTCTGTTAACGTTCCGCCCCCTGACAGCTGCGGGACTGCGAACTGGCGCCGGTGGTGAACAGAGACCTCGCCCGCAGGGTGCGCAACGTCAATGGCATCACTCAACACCGGCAGGTGCTGCGGAACGACATCAAGCTGTCGGCCAAGCTGATCCACGTGCTGGACGAGAGGGAGAGGCTGTGGAACTCCCGGCCAAGAGGCGACGCCCAGGTGCCGCAGGAGGTCAGCTTCAGCTTCACAGCCGACATTCTGCCGAATGAAAGCAGTTGTGTTGGGTTCTGTGAACAGTTTTGAATTTACTGATTTAACTGGAACTGGATTAATGTTCCAGTTAATCTCTTCGCTCCAGATGTGCTCCCTATTTCTATACTTTACTCATATTCACAGCTGGATCTGATCTTTGAGCTCTTAGCTTTAGGACAACTTGTCTGCGACTGTAAATGCTGTGAAGTTTTCTGACAAATTGATGTGGGAGGTGGGTAGTTGAGTGGTTGAGCAACCAGCCAGACTTTGACCTGCAAAGGCCCCCCCCCCCCCACTTGGGAATATTTGGAATGTGACAATGGGAACTCAAACCTTCTCAGAGAGGTGTTGGATACAGACTGTTGGAGGCACTTACAGCTGTTGTCTTGTTCGCCTTAATTTATTATTTTGTTTGGCTTCTGTTTCTCATCTGCAGCTTCCTGCCCAGAACCCCATCCTGAAGAACATCACAGACTACCTGATCGAGGAGGTCAACGCGGAGGAGGAGGAGCTGCTGGGCAGCACGGGCACGGAGCCCGAGGAGGCGGTGAAGGACGGGAACCCCGCGGAGATCACCGTGGAGAGGGACGAGAAGCTGGTGAAGGTCAGTCTGAGGGAGGAATCGTCAAGGATGCTGCTCTGCTTTCAAACTGGCCAACATGTATAGCTAACATTTTCTTTGTCCATTTCTGCATCACGGTAGCATTTTTTTCCTTCCTTGCTTTGTTTTGGTCCTTTTCGCACAGACGACCTTTTTGTCGTCGTCTTGAGTTTTTTCCGATGCCCCAAGGGCCGTTCCGCCTGTGATTTCCCCAGGTGCTGGATCGCCTGCTGCTGTACCTGCGCCTGGTCCACTCCATCGACTACTACAATGCCTGCGAATACCCCAGCGAGGACGAGATGCCCAACCGCTGCGGCCTGGTCCATGTGCGCGGGCCTGTCCCGCCCAATCGCATCGCACAGGGGGAAGGTCAGTCGGCTAGCTCCGCCCCTCACATCCCACTCGCTTGTGGGGGGGACAGGCTGTAGCAACACGTCTGTCTCTCCATCCAGTGCTGGAGTGGCAGAGGACCTTCGAGGAGAAGCTGGGCCCCTTGTTCAGCGTGAGGGAGACCCTGGCCGAGGAGGAGGCCAACAAAATGGGCCGCAAGAGTCCCGAGCAGGAAGTGGAGAAGTTCTTGGTGGCAAACACCCAGGAGCTGGGCAAGGACAAGTGGCTGTGCCCCCTCAGCGGCAAGAAGTTCAAGGTGGGGGGGGGGGTGGGGAGCGCTCTGTCGGTATGCTCAGCCCATCCAGGGAGGGGTTACCATGGAACGAACATTCTGACACATTCCTCCACTGGGTCCATTGAGATATGTTACCACCTGAAAGAGATTAAACCATTGAAGGATGTTCACGTATTTCACTATTTCGCTGTAAGTTAACGGGTAAAACGCACTTTCTGTAGCTGTTCTTTCAGTCAGGCTAATCGGTGGACTGTATCGCTTCCCTGAAACCGGCAGGGTCCCGAGTTCGTGCGCAAGCACATAATGAACAAGCACGTCGACAAGATAGAAGAAGTGAAAAAGGAGGTGGTGTTCTTCAACAACTTCCTCATGGACGCCAAGAGGCCGTCCATACCTGAGGTCAAAGTCCCGCCCCCACCCAGCCCAGGGCAAGGTGGGTGTCGCACCGCTGGTTTTCTACATCTCCTTAATATAGGCCAGGGATCTCCACCTATTTTTCCCAGAGGACCATTGCGTCCAAAACAAAAAAGGTGACCGGGGTGCATCGATGGCGCGGTGCAGATTCAGTTGTTTCAGACAGAACTCTGCCAGTTACTGACCATCGGTCTAAGCAGGTCAACAGATGGATTTATAAGAACATTATTCTACTACTGTATTCTGAAATGGTCCATATCCTGGCAATATATTGTTGTTGTTGATATTGTTATAATTATTGAAGTGCAGGGTCACCTGTGACTTGAGTGCAGTGATACCAGGGATTAGTGTATCTGCTGTCTCTGTAATGGGCTTCAGGGCTCTGCTTCTCTGTCTAGGTGTTCTTGGCCCAGGGATGCCATACCCTCATCAGTCTCCCCAGGGCATGCTGGGATTTGGGCAGCCCCGCCCCCCCGTAATGGGTTTTGGAGGTAAGGGTGTACACCTGTGCTATCGCTCTCAAATAGGCACATTGCTGTTGCGGAGATTGATGCCGCCTTACATCATGCAGTCCTGCTTGTTAAATGAATCCTGTCGCTGTTTTCTGTTCATCTCTCCTAGGTGGCCCCCCATATCCCCCCAACCAGTTTGGAGGAGGGAGGGGTAACTATGACAACTTCCGTGGGCAGGGCGGCTATATGGGCAAACCACGCAACAGGTATCGGTGTTGATAAGTTTTCGTCGCCTTTTGACTTTATGGTCCCTGGGGGCATCCAGACCATCCGCATTTTTGCTCCCTCCCAACCCCCAGCCAATCAAGAAGACCGAATTCCTGGTATGGGTGTGTTGAGAACTGAGAGAGAACAAAAATGTGGACTGTCTGGAGGGCCTCGAGGACTGGGTTGGGAAACGTTGACCTAGAAGCCCAGCCTTGATTATCCCAAGTTGCGTTTGTGCAGGTGAAAGCTTAAACAACGGCGCTCATGACGTTAAGTGCCTACTTTTTGTTCCTTGGAGTCCTACAAGTTTTTAAATTTACCGGAATGCCAGCAGCACACTTTCTATTTCTGCGGTTAGATAAGTAATCCTGTTGCCCAGAGCAGTGAGTCTGGTTTTCTCAGTTATGCCAGCTTGTGAATGAGCTCTCCCTATTCTCCCTTTGCCTTGCACTTCTAGAATGATCCGTGGCGATCCTCGTAGCATCATCGAGTACCGTGACCTGGACGCCCCAGACGATGCTGACTTCTTTTAATTATTGTTGTGTTTTTTTTTTTCATTTTTAGTTCTGTCTCTTCCCCTCCCCCCCCCTTATCAGAGCCCACCATCACACCAGTGTATTCATTGTGTTTTAGACCCTTTACCTTTAATCCATCGGCTTTTTGTTGCGTGGGGGTGGGGGGGCTGTACTGTAATATGAGCTTGTTTTTCCAAAAATAAACATCTGGATCAAATTTTTACAGGTGGTGCATATATATTGTTTCATTTCTAAATTTATGGTTATGCGTCTATATAAAACATGCTTTTTTTTTTGCCAACTCCAGCCTGGTTCTTCCCTGCTTCTCCTTGATGAAGGGCTTCTTCCCTGCTTTATGGGCCTTCAGTCCTGCTTCTAGGAGCCTGAGATGAACTGTCCTAGCAGTGCACTTCACAGCACTTAATGTTTCCCATTCCTTTTGAAAGTCACTTCATGTCATCCTCTAATTCATGAGGTCCTCCTGATAAGCTGACGGTCATCTCTGGCATTAGAAAGTCACTTCCGCCCTTTTCCTGGCTGGTTTCTGGTCGTTCCCAGTGCCTCCTGCTTCACTCTTGTTCTTGCGTACTGCTGTCTGAGAAACGTTGAGCCTGGAAGCAACCTGTCGTTTAGTGTAGCCTTCTGCCGGCAGAACTAGGATTAACCCAGCATTTAACTACGCTGTTTTTTTTTTCTTTTTAAATGTGGTCTTTTTCTAGACCTGTATTTCACTGTAAGTTTTCTCACTGGAATAACCAGTGTTGCCTCTTTATTGCTAAATTAAGTTCCAGTTAAGTGAGTTGTAGGTTGGGAGATTTACAGAATTGGTGTTCAGGTCCAGCTCTTCAAAATAGTTATGAAAAGTGAACTTGACATGTAGTAGTGAATCTTTCTGGTGAATGCTGGCCTCTAGTCAAAAATAATGTATGGACCTAAATTGGTGCTTAACACGTTTCATATTTCTCTTGATGTAAATTCATAACCAGCCTACGAATTTTATTTATGATGCGATTGTAACATGTAAAATGCACATTTAAGTCCGCCGTGTTGCAGGCTCGTTTGCCCAGACTGACTTGTTTTGAAATGCATGGCAACAGGTGGATAACATTTAATCGGAACTGCAATAAACATGGGGGCGTTTCCACGTCTTAACCGCCTGGCTCGGTAATGTTGTACTGCTTGGTCGTGCATTGCGTAATGTTTATATGGTTATTTTGGGACGAGGACCCTGGGGCTTTTAAGCATTTTAGGGAATACGTTTCTGGAAGTCTGACTAACCGAGACGGAACGCGTGATCCCTGTCTGAATCACCGGGATGTTCTTACTGCGAACTGATCCCCATCAGGCAGATTTCGCAGGAACTGGGTGCAGACATCCAGCGGCGCTGCGGCTTTCTGCCGGTGTTCTATTTGCATATGACCGTCGATCTGCTCGCCCGTTTTATTCACACGCACATGCCGATTACTGGAGTGAGATACGGAGAAGATATTTCCTCACTGTGCCTAACTTCTCATGGCATATTGTGATTAATTTTATGTGAATTTTTATTGCGAGAGTCTGTTTTTATCTTGATTCATCAGGTAACAATATTAGAAGTATCGAACAGCTTGTCCAAAAAGTTGCAAAACCATGGAAACTGTACTACTTAAAATTCTGTAGGATTGGAACAGAGAAAATACTGGATATACATACGACTATACAATAGACATTTTCCTATCTACCAAATGTGTGTCGTACAGTCCAACGGCATGTCGCTCAACACCTGGAGAAAATGACCGGTGAGTAGGAAAATACGCTTCGTAGTGTGTATGATGGTAACTTGTTTATTTTAAACTTAAATCCGGTGTGCATCTTTACAGATTTCGCCAGGTTATTTAAAATGTGAAACATGGGATAGGGTTATGCATGGGGATTTAGAGCCTATATAAAATATTAGTGGTGTAAGGAAAAGCCTGTTCTATACCACATGGCTGAATCGATTAAAAAACAAATCGATAGACCCGTTCGGTCACTATTAGTCTACTGTAATATTTTGAATAAAATCTTATACACAGCTTCAATATCAGATGGGTTTGTAGTGCAAAATAAACAACTACTTGTTTTGAAAAGCAAAAAAAAAAATCGTTTTTAACTTGAACTAGAACACTTCAAGTAATGTTAAGATTAACTGAATCAGTAGCTTCCAACCTTTGTGACGGGGGGAACTACTGTACAAAGCCGGTTTATCTTAAGGATCGGGGCTCCCCGGGAGGTAGAAGGGGTCGCGATCTACTCCGAATCCGTTCGGAATCGAATACTGTGAATCTTGAAATGTTTCATTGCGTCGTCTTTGCAGGGTATCGTAGTCACAAATACATTTCTTTTTAATCAGATGAAAATGCCTTTCAGGAACATGGTTGTTTTTTTTTTTTTTAAATACGTTGGTTGTTCCCCTTGACCCCGATAAGTTACCGCATATTTCCATATGCCCTGCCGGTCAGATTTACATGGCTCAACTAAACATGAGTTTTAAAACAGTCCTTCATTGTGTATAGCTGCTCCTTCCTCATCACAAAAACGAAATCAGGTAGGCTATTTAAAATACTGCTCTTTTCCGCAGAGGAGTGAAATATCAACTACGGTGAACATTGCAAATATCTAATATTATAGTAATATCCGAATCGTTAAGAAAATATTTTAGGAGTAGTTTTTTTTTGTTAATATTTTGTACTCAGTTATTCATTTGAACTAAGTACTGATGATTAAGAAACATTATAAGCCTTGTCAAACACCGAGATTGGCTGACATAAAATTTATGTCTTCCAGCTCCCTGGTTCACATCTCAGCCCTCCTCCGTGACCAACGCCTCGGACCTGTTTGAGACGGGGATCTCACAGTCTTACAACGAAACATGCAGCAGTAGTGATAGCTTTAAGTTTCTGGCTTATACTTTCACGTACTGCATTGCTTTCCCTGTGGGTCTTCTCTGCAACATAGTCGCCCTTTTCGTGTTCTTATGCCTGACGCCTAAAAAATCAGCCAACACCGTCTTCACCACCAACCTGGCCCTGTCGGACATAGGCTTCTCCCTCACCCTGCCGTTCCGGCTGGTGTACTATCTGCGAGGCGGCCAGTGGGACTTCCCCGATTGGCTGTGTCGCTGGTGCATCTTCTCCTTCTACTTGAATCTCTACACCAGCGTGTTGTTCCTCACGGGGCTCAGCGTGCTACGCTGCATCGCTGTACTACACCCCATGCGTAACAAGTCCCTCATCACGGTCCGACGGGCCACCAGAGCCTGCTTGGGGATCTGGGCGTTTGTGGCCATCTCTTCTGTACCGTTCCTCTTCTCTGGGATCAATGAGCGTGAGGGGAAGATCCGTTGCTTCGAGCCCAGTGGCTTAGGCTCCTGGAAGCGGATCCTGGTCATGAATTATGTCGCCCTGACCTTCGGCTTCCTGCTGCCCTTCCTTACCATCCTGGTGTGCTACAGCTCCATCATGCGCAAGCTCATTAAGAACGGCCGGAAAGTCAAACAGCGCAAGACAAGCAAGCAGAGGGCCATCAGACTGATGGCAGTGATCCTGGCCACGTTTCTGCTTTGTTTCCTGCCCTACCACGTGGTACGCACTATTCACCTTCACGCCATGGTTGGCATGAAACCTAACCAGCCTCAGTGGTGCAATATAATGGAACTTCTCCAGAAGGTTTTGGTTGTGACCCTCTGCCTGGCAGCCGCTAATAGCTGTTTTAACCCTTTGCTCTATTACTTTTCTGGAGAGAGGTTCCGTGAAAACATCCGGAACTCTTCCAGGTTACGTTCCCGCAGCTTGAACAGCTCATTCAGCCATGGGTTATTTCCACAGTGGAAAGGCAAAGCCAGTTTCAGTCCCTAGAGGCTGGATTATCAGTCAGAATATACAAAGACGAGGATTCAGGTCTTGAATTACTATTGAACATTAAAACAAAATCCATCCAGCCATTCTCAAGAACTACTTCTCCAGTAAGGATATTGGAGACCTGGAATCTATCCCAGGACGAAGAGTAAAAGCAAATGATTAATTTCAAAGCCCTTAATGAACTAAATGTAACTCAAAGAATATGGTCTCTACTCTGCTAATACGACTTGAGATCTTCAATGACAATGAGTTGAGGGGCAAAAAAAAGAGTGTTTTAGAAACTGATTTCAGTAGCAACCATATTTATCACTTTTAAAGGTACTGTACAAATAGATATATACACTGTCATTGAGGTTTTTTTGTTTATCGTTATTGTTTGTTACTTTTTGTCTTGCACTGATACACATGAAGGGTAAATGGCACAGAAGTTTTTTCCCTCACTCAAGGCAATCCACAGGCCATATACTGAGCTAGTTTCATGTAGGAACAATTTTATTTCCACCGAACTCCACACGCCAACTGTACCACTGCACAGAATATAGTGCCAGGTAAAGCTGGGCAAGTACCTGAGTTTGCAATGTCCGTTATTGGCACAAAAAATACTTGGTTCTATGTGGCATGGCAGAGATACTTGGTAGAAACAGTTGGTGTGTGGAGTTTGGTGGGAAGAAAATAGTTCCTGAGTGAACAAATCTTGAGTAACCGGGTCATGATTTCTGACGAAAAATGTTTTGTTTTTTTTTTGGATGTTGGGCTGAACCGCCCCTTGAAGAATAAACTTGAATTGTTTATATTTGACTGTTTACTATATTAAAATCTTAAAGTAACATTTATTTAGCTTCTTTTCACTTTTAAGTACACATTACACGTTCTTATCAAAAGGTCAAAATAGGAGATCTAGACAGGATCAGAACACTGGGTCTCCGTTTCAAGTTTTATTGTCACGTGTTCAGAGGAACACAGTGAAATGCTTATGCTGCAGTTTGGCACTGGGAGACAAAATACAGCAGTGCAACACAGGACAAGAGGGTGCGGGACAGACGGCAGTGCAACACAGGAGATGAGGGTGCGGGACAGACGGCAGTGCAACACAGGAGATGAGGGTGCGGGACA